ACCAGCCACCCCCTGGCCTCTGGCCTCACATTCCTCGGAAGCACAGAAGAGTAAGATGCGAAGAGAGCCCAGTGGACATACACCTGTTCCAGAACCTTCCTAGGAACCCCCTGACCTGCAGGGTAAGGACCTATTCCTCAGCCTGGCACTTGAGGCCCCTCAAGTCTGTCCCTTTTCCCCGCCTATCTTACCTCCAACCCTTCTTCCCTCCAAATCCCACACTTGAGCCACAACAAAGGCCAGCGGCTCCCTAAACACACCAGGGCCGCCTGCCTCCGACTTGCACGGGCTACTCTCTCTGCCAGAAGAGAAAACTCTCAAGTGTCCCTCAGCACCAAGGTCTGGCATCACCTCTTCCTGGAAGGGGTCTCCATTCCCCAGAGGGGCCATGTGCCTTCTCTAGATGTCCCCTGAACCCTGTGTGACCCCAGAATGGTGCAAATCACCCTAAGTGGCTGCATCTGTTGCCCCCACAGCCTCGAACCTCAGAGGCAGGCCTCGTGTGGGGGCACCCACAGCCAATCCGGGAGCCCAGCAGGATGAGCAAGACTGCAACATCAGAGACACTGGTCATGCTGCCCTGGGCTGGGATGGTCCTGTACCCCCATTCACGTCCATGTTCCTGGGACTGGGAGGTGGTGACTGGTGGCCTTCTTGACTGTGGGCCGCAAAGCCGTTGGGGCCATGACCACTGAGAGCAAGATGTGTCATACCTGGCCCACACACGCCTCCCAAGGGCCACCTCCTCAGCCTACCTCTCGTGGGCTCCGAGTGTCGGGGCTGTGGCCGCACAGTGCTGATGACGGCCCAGTCGGGTTCATAGCCGGGATCAAAGGTGGGTTCCTCCTCAGAAGTGCAGGGGTCACCCCCACTGGAGTCCTTTGGGGAAAGGAGCAGACAGTAAGGGGCTGTGGATTCAGTTTCCAGATCTGAGCCTTGAGGCTACCCTGGAAGATAGCCCCAGTGACCAAAGAGGGAAACTAAGGCACAAAGAAGGTACAGCATTTGCTCAGGGTCACCCAATGCAGCCAGAGAGAGCCAGGACTTGACCCCATGTCTCCTGGTGCGTGGGGGAGGTCCATGCGACATGGCAGGTGGCTCTGCAGTCAGACTGTAGAATGCTTAACGTATACTGTTGGTACTCATTAGGACAATACAAAACAAAACCACGGTAAGATACCACTTTCCACCCTTTGAGATAGTGAGACTCTAAAAAAAAAACTGCATTTCCCAGGTTTCCTTGCAGCTAGAATCTGAATCACAAGACAAATTCTACCAACCACAGGCAGGCACACCTGAAAAGCAGAAATGACTTAAGGCAATTTCCGGGTGCCTTGGCTGTGTTTGGCTGTGGAGCAAGGAGGTAAAGGCTTATCTTCATCCTCCTGCCCTGGGGCGGCATGGGTGTCCAGCTCAGTCTTCCAGTGTCTGGTCACTAGCTCTGTGGTGCTGACTTCCTGACCCTGGGTGGAACTCGACAGCTCCAATGGAAGTCTCATTCCCCACAAAAAAACCCCTCTACAGGCTGGTTGTGGTGGCTCATGCCTGTAATCCCAGCACTGTGGGAGGCTGAGGCGGGCAGATCACGAGGTCAAGAGATTGAGACCATCCTGGCCAACATGGTGAAACCCTGTCCCTACTAAAAACACAAAAATTAGCTGGGTGTGGTGGCAGGCACCTGTAGTCCCAGCTACTTGGGAAGCTGAGGGAGAAGAATCGCTTGAACCCTGGAGGCGGAGGTTGCAGTGAGCCGAGATTGCGCCACTGTACTCCAGCCTGGCAACAGAGCAAGACTCCATCTCTTTAAAAAAAAAAAAAAAAAAAAACCCTCTCCAGAGGCATCCAACTTCTCCGTGTGCCTTGAAGGCTCTTCTGCTGTCCCTGAAATATCGTCTTGTCCTTTCATATCCTTAGAGTCCCAGCTCAAACGCCTGCTTTTCCAGGAAGCGATCTGGAATCAGACTGACTGGATTGAAACCCATGTTTCAACACCTCCTTGGGTTTTCGACCTCATCTACCAGTTTCTCAAAGAGTGAGTAAAGGTGAGAGCTTAGGTGGGTTTGGATCTGACTCATCTCTGGATCCCAGAGTTTCCCAGGTCAGGGTCCAGCCATGGGAAGTCCCAGGAGATATAAAGATGGGGAAGACGAGAGCAGTGGTGAAGTGGGTGAGCAGGCTGTCAGGCCCTGTCCTCTGGCACCAGAGGAAATGCCACTCCCCTTCAAGCAACTCAAATCCACAGGTTGAGCTGTCATCTTGCACCCTGGCAGGGATTTCCCAAGAAGCAAAGGGAGAGGGGTCAGCTGTCCCCAACATCGTGCGCCTCAAGGTCCCTGCTCTTTTTCCTGGAACAGGCACCCTCTGCCCATTTCACAAAAAGGAGGAAACCGAGAAGCAAAGAGTACCCGAGCCCACTAGGGTCACACATGCCCCACAAGTAGGTCTGGGATTGTACTCAGGTCCCCCAAATGACTTCCAACAGCACGGACCTAGAAAAAAGTGAGAGGAGCCGGCGCAGTGGTGCGCGCCTGAGTCCCAGCTACTCGGAAGGCTGAGGTGGGAGGATCACTTGAGCCCTGGAGTTCTGGGCTGTAGTGCGCTATACCGATAGAGTGTCCGCACTAAGTTTGGCATCAATATGGTGACCTCCCGGGAGTGGGGGGCCACCAGGTTGCCTAAGAAGGGGTGTACCAGCTCTGATCCCAAACGGAGAAGGTCAAAACTCCAGTGCTGATCAGTAGTGCGATCGCGCCTGTGAATAGCCACTGCATTCCAGCCTGGGCAACACAGAGACACCCTGTCTCTTAAAAAAAAAAAGAAAAAAGCGGGCCAGGCGCCGTGGCTCACGCCTGTAATCTCAGCACTTTGGGAGGCCGAGGCGGGCGGATCACCTGAGGTCAGGAGTTCAAGACCAGCCTGGCCAACATGGCGAAACCCAATCTTTAAAAAAAAAAAAAGCGAGTGGAGAAGGGCAAAGGGGGTGGAGCCTACCTTCTTGGAGAAGAGGATTTGAGTAGAATCTCCAGCCTCCTCTACAGGAGCCCAGTGCAGGAGGACGTCACTGTCCTAGGGGAAGGAAGGAGGAGCGGTTAGAGGCGTTCCCTAAACCACATTCCCAAAACTTTCCGTTGCAAATTTCCAAACTTTCCCGGTTTCTACCCTCTGCCTTTCAAAGCCCCGCCCCTCATTCCAGTTCCCATCCCCAGCCTTCTTCAGGTCCCTCTGCTGAGCGCCAGACCAAACTCCTCCGGTTGCCGCCTGCATCCCAGAGCGCCTGCATCCCGCTAGGAGCGGGCACAAGCCCTGCTCCCTCCCAGCGCACCTTTTCCACGACACGGATGACACCAGCGATGAGGGAGTCTCGATCCTGATACTTCTTAGCGCTGGTGTGCAGGTACACTCCGCCCTTCTCAAATACCACCTGGGTTGGGGGGAACCAGCGAGATTTGGGGCCCAAGCCAGGGCGACACGCGAGGGGACCGGCCCAGGGGAGCCAATAGGGACGGGCCCCGGGAGGAGCCACCCTCAGGGGGCGGGGCCGGGAGAGCCATTGCCCCGGGACCAGGGCGGGGAGAGCGGTCCAGCCAGCGTTCGGAGGCGGGCGTGCGTTCCACAGGGGGCGGAGCCCAAGGAGTCGCCTGACCCAGGGGCGGGGCCATGAGAGGGTCTCCCACGGGGTGGTGGACGGGAGGGTGATGGCGCGTTTATGAGAGATCGGTGTTTGCCAAGGCCGTGCCGAACTCTCAGGAGCACGCGCAAGGGCTGAGGGCGGAGCTGAACACTAGACGGGGCGTTTCGCATAGACTGAAGCGAGGGAGAGCGCCCTCAGTGCTTACCCTGTAGCCGGCTCCTTCCATAGCCGCCGCCGAAGGCCCCACTGCCCCGCCTCCCCTCTTTCCAAGTCAGCGTGTTGTCACTTCCGGAGAAAACAGCTCCCCTCTGGGCCGGACAGTGGTAGCGCCCCAACCCGTTCTAGAGCCGGAGTGGGTGAAACCATCTTTCAGAAGGGGGTTATTCCACTGGAACCTCAAGGGCGGATCGGAGTCACGTGGCGCCAACGCCGAAGGTGGAGCTGGCCGCGGAGTGTGCGCAGGCGCTGTGTTCTCCCTCTCGCCACGAAGTAAACAAGTGGGAGGGTCTGAGAGCTGCACCAGCTGGGGCAAGCACGCCTTCAAACGCTTATTTTCTCCTCCATATTGTATGCTGGAATCGAAGCCAAGGAGGAGCCATTTTGCTCGAGGGCACGGCCTAAGTAGGCCGGCTGAGGCCATGTTAATGCTGGGCAGTCCCATCTCTGCGTGACAGCGAGGTGCTGGAAGAGCAGAACGGCTAAGAGAAGAGGAGGTGAGAGGAGCTGTAGCTGTACACCACAGGAGGCACTGAGGGACTCGGGATGACGAGATGAAGCCGTCAGTGTCCCCGGAACGAAGCGGCCCCAGACGAATTTCTGACTCACCGTCGCGAGAAAGCGGGCTGAGCCGCCATCTTGAAGCCTGGCAAATCTAAGCAAGAAATGCTGTCGTGTTGGATCTTTGCCAGCGTTGTTGCTGAATGTGGGAGCAGGTTGGAGGGAGAGAGAACCCATATGCACTATTGGCTAATTAAGCCCGGTCGGCTGCCATGTTGTTAACGGGTACCGATTTCCTCCACTTTTGAAGAAGTTTATTGTGGGTGAGGGACGTCAGGTCACTTGCCTTCGTTTACCGTATTCATGAATGAGCCTATGAGGGCGGCCATTATTGTTAGGGGCAAATGGAAATACCTAGGCGCAAAAACTAAAGCCTTTGTTTCGCCATTTTTCTTATGGGCACGCTGCTGTCGCGATTGCCCACTAGTTCGGACGAAGCCCCTGTGGCCGCCATCTTGATCTCGGGCGGCCCCGATAAGGGAGGCGGAGTATGCAAAGAGGAGGCGCGGTAACTACACGGACGTGACGCAAGGCGCCGCCATGTCTTTTGAGGGCGGCGACGGCGCCGGGCCGGCCATGCTGGCTACGGGCACGTGAGTGGAGGCGGCGTTGTGAACCGCGGTGTGGGGAGGATTTGGCCGTCCAGAGGCAGCGGGGCGCTGGGAGGGCGAGCGGCTCACGGGAGGGGTATGGCCTGCCTAGATCAGAGGGGAGACGTCGGCCAGTGACCCTTTGCCGAGCGCTGGAAGGGGGTCGCCCGTGGGAATCGTCCTGTCTGACCTGAGGCAAATCCTAGACAGCCTCACCTTGCGATGTCCAGAACCCCTGGGATCCCTACTTGGGCCGTGGACCAGGTCCGCGGGGTCGGGGGATGGCTCAGGGGGCCTCGGGGCGCCCCCTCACCCGTCCAAAGGCGGGACTTCCGGTCCTGGCCTACGCCTGGGCGGGATTTCCTGTTTTTTTTCCTCGGCCAGTGGATCTTCCCTGGACCCCGGGCGAGGTTGGGAGGTCTCTGGGCAGCCGAGCCTGGCCCCAGGCACTCACCCCACCCACGGCTACCGCGTGCACGCTAGGGTTCCTCACATCTTGGGGTGAGGGGCGCTAAAATTTCGACGGTGGAGTGGTTCCACCCCTCTCCTTAGCACTCCTCTCTCCCCCCCGAATCCAAGGAGGAGAGCCACATCGTGCCCCCTCCCTCTTGTGGGTAACACGTCCCACCTTCCTCTCATCTCTCCCTGATCTTAGACGAGACTCGTCCATCGGGGCGGGTTCTTCCTCCAACTCTCAGCTCCTTGGAGGAGCCAGGACCTCCTCTAGAAGCTGAAGGGTAAGGAGGACCCCCAGGTCTTGGCTACTCTGTCGGGGAACAGACTGCAGGGTGTCCCTGGACCTCGGCGGAAAGGCCTGTGGAAATTGCCCTGGCCTTTTTGCTCATGTCTCCTGAGTTGGGGGAACCCTCACAACTCCCTCACCCCATTTCACTCTCTTCAGTGTTGTGGCTACTCCAAGATTGAGTACAGGGAGGGAGTTTCATCCTGACATTCTCTTCCGGGACCCCCGCTCCCCCTCTTCTCCGCATGTCATTAGGGGCTGGGGGCCCGTGGAAGTGAGAGCCCCAGGCCTAGCACGGGCAGGCAGTTGACTTTGGACTAGCCACTTCCTTGCTTTCAGCCTCAGTTTCCTCCTTCATCAGGTGGGAAGGACATGAGGGGTGTGTTTGAGATACTGGGTACTCCCCAGTTCAGTGGGGTTTGGGGGCTGGGCAGTCAGCAGTTTCAGCTCCACTTGTGCCCTGTGTAGCTGTGTGCTTTCTGGCCAGTGTCCTAAGTTCTGAGCTTCACTTTGCCATCTAGATTAGGAGATCTGTTTTTGTTTTTTGTTTTTTTGAGACGGAGTCTTGCCCTGTTGCCCAGGCTTGGAGTGCAGTGGTGCCATCTTGGCTCACTGCAATCTCCTTCTCCAGGTTCAAGCGATGCTTCTGCCACAGCTTCCCAAGTAGCTGGGACTACAGGTGCGCACCACCACATCCAGCTAATTTTTGTATTTTTAGTAGACACCAGGTTTCACCATACTGGTCAGGCTGGTCTTGAACTCCTGACCTCATGATCCACCAGCCTCAGTCTCTCAAAGTGCTGGGATTACAGGCATAAGCCATGGTACCTGGCCAACATCTGTTCTCCTAAAGGCAGGTAGGATGGCGATCAGGATTTAGAACAGGCTCTAGATTAGATCGTCGGAGTCCAGGTCCCAGTCCTCCCTCTTCCAGTTTTGGGGCCCTTCAAGGTGCTAACTGCCCCTGGGCCTGAGTTTGTGACTGCAAAGTGGGGTGAGCTGTAGCTAAAGCCCCTGCCTCATAGCGTAGGCAAAAGGGTGGGATGAGAAGGTTGAGCCCATCTTTGGTCCTGGTATGGCTTCTGGGAAGTGCTGGATAAACCTCTTCCTTCCCTCGGGGCATTGAACTCCCTGAGTGAGTCAGATAGGAGGTGAGATGCCAGATGTGGAATCCCAGCACTGAATAGGCGCTCAGCAGACACGATCGTGAGTCATAAAGGGCCTGCAAATTTCATTCCAACCCGACTCCCTGCTCCCTTCACCCTGGCTTGCTGGACCACAGCTCTGCCTGAATCCCTGCAGTGATGGTATGCTCGCTGCCTCCCCACGGAGCCTCTTCCGCAGCGCAACAGCTCTGGCTCAGCTTCTCCTTTAACCAGAGTCAAAGGGGAAGAAAATGAGGCACAGAGAGGGCTAGTGAGTGAGGAGTCCAAGGTCACACAGCAGGTTTGAGACAGAGTCAGGGCAAGGACCCAGCCACCCTGCCCTCAATCTTCTCACCGGGTAAGGAGATGCACCCTGCCTTGTCTGCTTGGGGCTGACCTGTCCTGTGAACACAAATTGCTTACTTTGGGGAAATTCACAGTCTGATGCAGGAGGCAGCGGGGTACAGCTGTCACAAGCTCAGGTGACATGAGTGCTCATGGAGGAAGCCCAGAGCATTGGATGGGCTCCTGAAGTCATCTGATGCACCCTGGACGATCAGGGACAACAGAGGACCTGCCAGAGCAGTGTTGTAGGAAAAGCCACGTGGATTTCCCCACACAGAGCAATCCCAGCACCATTTCTTGCCTTTGTTCAGCCCTGACTCTCTGAGGCCTCAGTCATGGGACCAGCCAGTTCCCTCTGGAAGGAAGTGTGCTGGGGAGGTGGCCACTCAGACATGGTGGGACCCCCCAAGGAGGGGACTGGCTGGATCTAGGGGTGAGGGAAAGTTTCTTCCACCCTAGGATGAGTGAAGAAGGTTGGTGGGGAACGGAGCACGAGTGATCCAGGTTGGGGGGTTCCATGTTGTCTGAAGGCCGTGGAGGCAGGATGGCCCAGGAGCCAGGGATGGCCAGAACACACGGGGCCTCCAGGGCCAGGCTGAGGGCCTGGGACCCTGTCCTGAGGACTCTGGCAAGGAGTAGCAGGAGCTCCAGGTGCAGAAGGAGCCCCCCGGGACTTGGGCACCATGCTCTGGATGGGATGCAGGGGCGATGGAACAGGGGGGCATCGCCTGTCAGTCAGTGCAAGCCCCATGTGGAATTCCAAATTTTCTAGACGCCATGACAAAAGAGTCAAAGCAGATAATTTTTTTTTTTTTTTTTAATAGAGACGGGATCTCAACATGTTGCCCAGGCTGATCTCGCACTCCTGGGCTCAGTGATCCGCCTGCCGTGGCCCCCCAAGGTGCTGAGATTGCAGGCGTGAGCCACTGTGCCTGTCTGTTCTGCATTTTTGCACTCAGTCTTCAGAATCAGGTGCGGGTTTGCCTCTCAGCATCCTCCCTGCTCACATGTGGCTGGCACTTCCACAGAGGCCAGGGCAGGGCCAAAGGGCAGGGAGTAGGGTGGCAGGAGGAATGGGCTGGGGCTGATGGCTCGCCGGGGTCTGGGCCTGCAAGAGCTGCATGGTGAGAATCGGGAGTAGCAGGTTAGGGGAGGACGCGCAGCACCCCGGGACAAGGTGGGTGGAGGGGGTGAGTGCCATCCAGGGAACAGGTGGACATCTTGGGTGGGTGGTGGAGGCAACCAAGCCTCAGCCCCCTCTGTCCTGCTCTGGCCGCAGGGCGCGGATGGCATCGGGGCGTCCCGAGGAGCTGTGGGAGGCTGTGGTGGGGGCCGCTGAACGCTTTCGGGCCCGGACTGGCACGGAGCTGGTGCTGCTGACCGCGGCCCCGCCGCCACCGCCCCGCCCGGGTCCCTGTGCCTATGCTGCCCACGGCCGAGGAGCGCTGGCAGAGGCGGCGCGGCGCTGCCTCCACGACATCGCGCTGGCCCACAGGGCTGCCGCTGCCGCCCGGCCTCCCGCACCCCCACCAGCACCACAGCCACCCGACCCCACACCCAGCCCGCCCCAGCCTGCCCTGGCCAGGGAGGACAACGAAGAGGATGAGGATGAGCCCACAGAGACAGAGACCTCTGGGGAGCGGCTGGACGTCGGCGATAACGGAGGTGAGAGGGCGGGCGCAGGGGCTGGAGTGGCCCAGGGCTTGAGGAGGTACCCGCAGGAGGCTTTCCTGGGGTCAGGGGTGGTGGGACCTGCTTAGTCCTGAGTACTTCCTTGGAAGTGCGGTCTCAGGACCCCACAGCCAGACAGGCTTGCCTGGGACTTGCTGTGTGATCTGAAGCCAGTCCCTTCCCCGCTCTGAGCCTTACTGGTCCTGGAGCCAGCTCTGTGCTGGGAGTGGTGGGCACAGGGACACAGAGCAGACTTGGGTCCTTTCCTCAAGGGGCTCCCGGTCTAGCCAAGGAATTGGAGTCCCGAGGAGGGTCGGGGGGCTCTGGAGCAGGGCATGAGTAGAACCAGAGTCATTTCCACAGGGACTGGAAGGCAAGATGGGAATGAAAGAGTTCAGGGATGCAGCCGACATCCGAGGAAGTGGGGAGGGACCATTCAGCTGTTGGGGGGGGCACTTGTGGCTTGAATACTTTCAGAAGCTGGGTTGTAACACTAGGGCTTTGAGGAGTGAGTAGGAGTTTGATCAGTAACTAGGAGGTCCTTGTTTGTTATTACTTTTTTTGTGTGTGTGTTTTTGTTTTTTTCCTTTTTGTGGAGAACGGGGTCTCGTTATATTGCCCAGGCAGGTCTCGAACTCCTGGGCTCAAGCTATCCTCCCACCGCTGCCTCCCTAAGAGCTGGGATTACAGGCCTGAGCCGCTGCACCCGGATTTTGTTATTACTAATGGCCGGCCTCCTACCTGTTGTGGGAGGAAATCCACATGGGGGAGGGCAGGCCTCCTGAGTTCAAATCCTGGCGGCATCCCTTAGTAGCCATGGGACCTCCAACCAGTGACTTAACCGCTCTGGGCCTCCAGGTCTCCATTTGTCAACAGAGGCCACGGTCATCCCATATTTCTCTCAGGCTGTATTTTCAGTCCCATCGTCCCGAACAGATCGTAGCGGTTTCCTGTTAGCTACGTTGTGTGCAGCCGAGAAGGTGACAGATGCATAGAGGGTGTGTTTCTGCCGATGACCAGGCAGGTGGCTAGGGGAAGGGTTTTCGAGGTGAAGGAAATGGGTCTCAGCCGGGAGGCGGGGACTGTGGCCGGGGCCGGGGCTGGGGAGTACAGCACACGGAGCATGGCCAGGTGCCCACTGGCCCGGGCCTCTCACTCACACCATCCACAGGGCTCTTCGTGATGGATGAGGACGCCACCCTCCAGGACCTTCCCCCCTTCTGTGAGTCGGATCCTGAGAGCACAGATGGTGAGTGTCCTAGGCTGGTCCCCTCCCTACCTGGAGGTGGCTGGCTGGCTGGCACAAAGACACAGACAGAAGCTGAAATTTACCCTTGCTTTCAGATGGCAGCCTGAGCGAGGAGACCCCCACTGGCCCCCCCACCTGCTCAGTCCCCCCGGCCTCAGCCCTGCCCACACAGCAGTACGCCAAGTCCCTGCCTGTGTCTGTGCCCGTCTGGGCCTTCAAGGAGAAGAGGACAGAGGCACGGTCATCGGATGAGGAGAATGGGCCGGTGAGGGGCAAATGGGGGGAGGTAGGGAGGGCAGCTGGAAGGGCTCTGAGCCGCTTCCTTCAGGAAGCCCTCTGGCATGGATGCTGCTTTCCACCCATAAGCTGACTGAATCTTCCCCTCAAACTCAAGAAGCAAGTTCTTGGGCCCAAGCCTTGCGGTTTTAACAACTGCAGCCTTACCGTGTGTCCTAGTGCCTCACGGAGAAGCCCTCTCCTTTCCAGGAGCGTCTCCATTTATAGAACACTTGCTCTGGGCGAGGCACAGGTACTTTGGCATCCCTCCAGATGGGGAAATTGAGGCTTGGAGCGTTCAGATCACCTCCCATCCCCACCCTGCACATTCCTGGCCCTTTGCAGAATGTGTCCTACCCCCTGGTCCCGTTCATCCCTGTTTGAAGCTCCTGGGCTGGGCTAGCCTGGGTGGGTCCTCCTCACCCCTCACTGAGGCAGTGAGAGGACATGTGACTTCCCTGAGGGGCAGAGCTGGGACTGGAATCCAGCTACCTTTTAGGAAGGAGCTGTGGGCTTCGAGGGAGGAGGCCTGGGTCCCCACAGTCCCTGCTTTCAGACCTCAGTGCCCTCATGTGTAAACCAGCAGTCACAGTGGTCATGTCCTCCCCACCTCCTTCCTCCACGAGGCAGTGGGCGCTGAAGACCAGGAACCAGGCCCAGTGCAGACAGGTCTACCTGCTGCTGCTCTCTGTGCTTGGGACTCATGGCAACACAGCTCATTGAATGCTCTGGCCTCCCCCTGGTCAGGTCCAATTCCAGATCTGGGTCTCTGGGTCCCATCCTGCAAGGGGACAGGCCCAGCTCAGGGTGTCGGGGCTGTAGTGGAGGCAGGACTCGGTGCTGGAGCTGCAGGCAGAATGGCAGGACCACTCCTTGGTGGGGGCTGACACAGGGAGGGATCCTTTCTGTACAGCAGTGGCCACATGATACAGCAATAACAGCTGATAATCTCAGCCCTCACAGAGAGATCCTGTTGCCCACCCCATTTCTCAGAAGGGGAGACTGAGGCCTAGGGAAGCAAAACCTCTTGCTCACAGCTAGTTGGCGGCAGAGGTCTGATTGGAACATGACTGAAACCCCAGCCCAGATCCTCAGACATGAGATAGTGCACGCGGCCTTAATGGCTAGCAGACAACAGCGCTTCCAATGTGTAGGAAGCAATGTCCCAGGCCAAGACGCGGAGGGGGGAGGGGCAGGAAGGCTTCGTGGAGGAGGTGTCTGAACCAGGTAAGAAGTGTTCCTACGAAGAGCAAGACGGGGAAGAGCACTGCTGGCAGTGGGCATCGCAGGGCACAAGTGGCAGGGTGGGGACGTGCTAGGAGTGGGCTTGGAGCCAGCGTGCACACCCGGGCTGCGTGTGGGTGCAGGGGTGGCCATGCCGGCGCTGACCTCACCCCGTTGCCGTTCCCGCAGCCTTCCTCGCCCGACCTGGACCGCATCGCGGCGAGCATGCGCGCGCTGGTGTTGCGGGAGGCCGAGGACACCCAGGTTTTCGGGGACCTGCCACGGCCGCGGCTTAACACCAGCGACTTCCAGAAGCTGAAGCGGAAATACTGAGGCCCGGGGTGGGAACGTCCCGAGCCGCGTCCGCTCCACCCCACACTACGTCCCCGCCCCATGCCCGGGGCCCGCCAAGCCGAGGCTGATCTGGGAGCCCCCAGGATTGACCCGTCTCTGCCAATCCCCGCTGCCCTTCCAGCCCGCGACTTCCAGCGTCTAGGAGCGGGATATGTCCCTTTTCTCGATTGCGTCTGTCGCCTCTCTGCCCAGCGACAGATTCCTTCTATTAAGGGATTGGCTCGCTCAGTTCTAAGCCCTAAACGGGTCAACTCCGTTGTTTTCTGCCTAGCGACAAGGCCTTTGCTCGCACGGCATTGGCTCCATCCCCTAGTCGCTGGGCAGCTCTTTTTTTTGATTGGCTCGAATCTTGTAAAGGGCTTGAGTTCTCCCTCCTGATTAGCTCCAGCTTCCTGGGGGCGTGGCCAAGCCCTCGTTCCCAGAATTGGCCTGGGGCCTTCGATTTACGTTCTTTACACTAAGGGGGCTAGGGTCGTTTTTGCCCAAGTCCTGACAGCTTGTCCCCTGACCCCCTCAGGGATGGCCCCAAACAGTCCCTGCGTCTGACACCCCCTTTCATTGGTTCCATCCATCGCCACAACAGCCTGCCAATCGAAGCCCGTCCCTGCATCCAGGATGGTACCAGCTCCCGACCCTCGCTCCCCACCTCCACAGGTGCCTTAAAGGGCCCTTGTCCACCCAAGGCGGGGGGCAGGGGGCCTCACTCTCCGGCCCTGGTGTGGGGGAGAGAGTGAGGGGTTGGGGGACCGGCAGTTGGGAAGGGCGCTCTGAGATTAAAGAGTTTTACCTCTGACAGATAAATGTGTTTTGAGTGTCCATTGAACATTTTTTAAAACTGAATTACGGCGTCTGATTATCAGTGAACAGCTGGGGGTTGGAATTGCTGTGCCCATTTCATTTTTAAATTTTGAGACAGGGTCCCACTGTCGCTCAGGTTCAAGCAATTCTGCCTTAACCTCCCCAGTAGCTGGGATTGCAGGGGCGCGCCACTACCGCCCGGCTAATTTTTGTATTGTTAGTAGAAACAGGGTTTCACCATGTTGGCCAGGCTGGTCTCGAACTACTGACCTCAAATGATCCACCCCCGTCTGCTTCTCAAAGTGCTGGGATTACAGATGTGACCCACCGCACCTGGCTCTGTGCCCATTTTATAGATACGAAATGGGGGTGGAGACCATTCCAGTTTTGTGTGACTATGGAACCCCAATCTTGAGAGGGTGAGTGTTGGAGCCAGAGCCCACATATTCACTAGCAAAGCCAGGAACTCCGACCGGGAGTCTTGTTAAAAGAAGACTGGAGCTGCTGGGCTTGGTGCCTCACGCCTGTAAGCCCATGCTAGAAGGCCAGATCAGCATGGGCAACACAGTGAGACCCCTTCTCAAAGAAAAAATGGCTGGAGATTACAGAACAGGTGGAAGGAACCTCGTCCGAAATTTAGGACAGGTAAATGTAATCTCCCACCAGACCACCACTGCAAGAATGCTAACACTAAGCAGGACTGAAACGTTTTAATACCACCTAGACATTTTAAAAAGCGCTTGTCATGTTGACTGCTTTCATCGTCATAGTAATCCCACGAAATGGAAACGATTATCGCCTTTACAGATTTAGAAACTAGAACACAAGGTAAAGCCAAAGAAGGATTTAGGGGCGCTGTAGAGGGAAGAGGTTTCCTTGACTGACATGACCATCAGGTGGGGGAAAAAACCTCACTCCCCTGGTAACTACCTCCAGCAACGGGGATGGAAATTAGTAGTATGGCCGGGCGCGGTGGCTCACGCCTGTAATTCCAGAACTTTGCGAGGCTGAGAAGGGCGGATCACCTGAGGTTGGACGTTCGAGAACAGTCTGACCAACATGGAGAAACCCCGTCTCCACTAAAAATATAAACTTAGCCGGACGTGGTGACGCATGCCTGTAATCCCAGCTATCTGGGACGCCGAGGCAGGAGAATCGCTTGAACCCAGAAGGCGGAGGTTGCGGTGAGCCGAGATAGCGCCATTGCACTCCAGCCTGGGCACCAAGAGTGAAACTCTGTCTCAAAAAAAAAAAAAAAAAGAAAAGAAAAAGAAGTCGCCGGGCGCGGTGGCTCAAGCCTGTAATCCCAGCACTTTGGGAGGCCGAGGCGGGTGGATCACGAGGTCAAGAGATCGAGACCATCCTGGTCAACATGGTGAAACCCCGTCTCTACTAAAAATACAAAACATTAGCAGGGCATGGTGGCGCGTGCCTGTAATCCCAGCTACTCGGGATGCCGAGGCAGGAGAATTGCCTGAACCCAGGAGGTGGAAGGTGCCGTGAGCCAAGATCGCGCCATTGCACTCCAGCCTGGGTAACAAGAGTGAAACTCCATATCAAAAAAAAAAAAAAAGAAAATAAAAAGAAGTCAAAGAAACAGATATGCAAATGGAGGATCCAGTCCCCGCTACCGGCCTAGGCCTCGCGTTGCAGTAAGAGAGATGAAGGTCAGAACTGCCGAGGAACCGTAGGGGCCAAAGGTCGAGGGAAGGGGCGTGGCTACAGTGGGAGGAACACAGGCCCCGCCCCCTCGAGAGGACGAGTCATTTCCTTCCGCCGAGGCGCTGAGAACCGCCGGCCGAGTCGCAGGCGGGGTGCCTCGGGCAGGACCTCGCTAGTCAGAAACGGCCGTAAGCCCGAGCAGCTGGCCAGGGTGAGTGCGCGAGGGGTGGAGGGGGGAGCGGAGGCACGTGCGAGGCTCTTGGCCTGTATCCTGGGAAGTGACAATCCTAGCTCGCGGAGAGATGAAGCACGCATCGTCGCCTGGGAAACGACGCGACCCGCGGCAGGCGAGGGGGTGGGACTTCCGGAGCAGTTAGCGATGTGAAAAGTTCTTAGCGGAGGTGGGAGAAGGCGGGACTTCCTGGAGCAAACTGGGGACGTGCGCCGCTCAAGCCGGTTTACCTGCTTCCTAGGGCCCGCACCCAGGATGGGCGAGGTGGAGGCCCCGGGCCGCCTGTGGCTCGAGAGCCCCCCAGGGGGAGCACCTCCAATTTTCCTGCCCTCAGACGGGCAAGCCCTGGTCCTGGGCAGGGGACCCCTGACCCAGGTCACGGACCGGAAGTGCTCCAGAACTCAAGGTGAGCGGGGCCTGAGCACGAGGGGGTGTGGCCTGCTGCAGAAGCGGGGAGACGTGGTTGGCCGCTACGCGGCATTGCGTGGTGCAGCCGGCCCCGAAGTCGGAAGGTGCTCTTCTAGGGAGCACAGGAAGAGAACGTTTGTGCTTGATTTAGAATTAGCCAGATCCTTGCGGGGAGAGGGGATGGAACCAGTTTCGGGAGGATGTTCACTGCGCGGATAATACTCTGGCCATAGGGGAATCTGGAAACAGACGACGGCTCTTGTCAAAAGAAAAAAATGGTCCTATGGGGAAAAGTAAATGTCACTAGGTTGGGATGGACGGTAACAGGCCAAGCCCCAGACTTGCATCTAGCCACATTTTTTTGTCAAGGAGGAGACCAGTTTTACAGAGAAAAGTACCTCTCTGTCCTTTACAAGGACCACTGTCAGGCAATCCTAGTGCCACCGTCTGGCTACGGCATGTCAAGCAGCCAGTCCCAGGTAGAAATAAACTGCCTCCTACTCCCTCCCGAATGGACGCTGTAGCCTGAGGCATGCCGCACTCCCCAGAAATGAGGGAACCAATCATACAAGGATACAAATCCTGACTTCACCCCTTCAATCCTCAGTAGAGCTGGTCGCAGATCCTGAGACCCGGACAGTGGCAGTGAAACAGGTATCAGTGCCTCTGCAAGGGGCAGTAAGGCTTGGGGATGGGATTTGGGGAGGAATTGCAAGCCATCAGTGAAAGGTTACATTAGGAAAATCTGATTGGGGCCTCGCGTGTTGGCTCACGCCTGTAATTTCAGCACTTTGGGAGGCGCAGGTGGGCGGATCGCTTGAACTCAGGTGAAACCTCTCTCTTAAAAAAAATTAGCCAGGGATGATGGTGCGTCCTTGTCTCAGCTAATCGGGAGGCTGACGCGGTAGGATCCTTTGAGCCCACTAGGTCAAGGCTGCAGTGAGCGGCGATCACCACGCTGTACTCCAGCCTAGGTGAGAGAGCGAGAACCTGTCTCAAAAAGGAAAAGAAAAAATACGGATCGAAGAGAAGGGGGCGTGTCCATTAAAGAAAGAAGTGTTGCCCATTTTAATGGGGTGGATACCCGTACAACCCCTTAGAAATTGGACAAGGCGGCCAGGCGCGGTAACTCACGCCTGTAATCCCAGCACTTGGGGAGGCTCAGGTGGGCGCGATCACCTGAGGTCAGGAGTTCGTGACCAGCCTGGCCAATATGGCGAAACCCCGTGTCTCTACTAAAAATACAAAAATTAGCCGGGCTTGGTGGCAGGTGCCTGTAATCCCAGTTACTCGGGTGGCGGAAGCAGGTGAATCTTTTGAACCTGGGAGGCAGAGGTTGCAATCAGCCGAGATTGCACCACCGCACTCCAACCTGGTCGACAAAACAAGACTCTTCTCTCCAAAAAAAAGAAAGAAAAAAAGAAATTGGGCCGGGCTGGAAACCTGTAACCTTTCCAAAGCCATGATTGGTGCTGCGGCGGGAAGAGGTGGGGCTTAAGGGTCTGACTAGTGGTGGGGAAAGGCAGATCCTTCTGCTGGGTATTTGATTGGAGGAGGCTCCCGGTGGGGGAAGCCAGTCCCAGCTCCTCCCTTTCTTTCTGCAGCTAGGTGTTAACCCCTCAACTGCCGGGACCCAGGAGTTGAAGCCGGGGTTGGAGTGCTCTCTGGGGGTGGGGGACACACTGTATTTGGTCAATGGCCTCCACCCACTGACCCTGCGCTGGGAAGAGACCCGCACACCAGAATCCCTGGCAGATACTCCACGTGGCACTCCTCCGGTGTCCCAAGAGGAGAAGAGGGATCCTGAGCCCCTGAAGAAGCGGATTCGGAAGTCATCCCCCGGCTGGGAGAACTTGGAGAAGTTGCTAGTGTTCACCGCAGTGGGGGTGAAACCCCAGAGCAAGGTGAGGGGCATGCCCGGGCCTGAGGGAGCCGCCACAGACTGGGACTCAGTCCTAGGTTTGTTGTGTGCTGTCTCTCTTCTTTTTAGCCTTTACTTACTCTTCTCAGAAATGGGCCTAATGACAAACACGGGGGTCATTGTAAGCAGGGGGGAAAAGGATGTATGTCAGCTCCTGCATGACCCACGGTGACCACCCACTAATCAGCATCGACCATGACCGTCTCAGTAGGAGCAATTATGAGTATTTTTTAGGTCCAGAGAGACTTGAGTTCAAATGCTGTTAGTGCCACATTCTGAGTCCCACGTCTCCCATCTCTGTGATGCTGATTCGATAAAAAGCACGTGGCATAGTCCTTGAGATGCAGTTAGCACCCAAAGCTTTGCTCCTGTTTTGTTTTGTTTTTTTTGAGGCGGAGTTTCGCTCTTGTTACCCAGGCTGGAGTGCAATGGCGCGACCTCGGCTCACCGCAACCTCCGCCTCCTGGGTTCAGGCAATTCTCCTGCCTCAGCCTCCTGAGTAGCTGGGATTACAGGCACGCGCCACCATGCCCAGCTGATT